GGCAACGACGGATGACTGAGAGAACTACGTCCGCTGACTACGCAGACAAACCCTTCACCTGTATGTGCCGCCATCTAGCGGCAGTCGCAGCAGACGCTAGTTAGTAGCGCCATCTACCGAACGACAGCACCGTTGCACGGGTAACAACAGCACGGATGTATCGTGTAAGGATCCTCCAACCGCGGAATCTGCTGATGCTGGTTGTAGTCGTCTGCGTACTGCTGACCGCATACGTACATCGCCTGCACATGAAGACCGACGGCACCGCCGCTAGCTGGCGCGAACGCAACCAAACGAAACACCTCGTCGGCACCGCCAGACGGCAGCAGCATGAGCAGCAGACGCCGCAGCTCACGTGCGTGCCGACGGACGCGGTCGACGCGAAGGCGGACGTCGATACGTACAGCGTCTTTCTGCGCTGGATGCACGCCGGACGCAAAAGCCGCGGCAGTCCGACGCTGCCGCTGACGGCGACCGACGCGACGCTGCAGCCGCTGCGCGTCTTCGTCGTGCCGCACTCGCACAACGACCCCGGCTGGCTGCACACCGTCGACGAGTACTTCGACTCGAAGACGTCGCACATACTCGACAACATCGTCGCCAAGCTAGAGCAGTACGCCGACATGACGTTCATCTGGACCGAGACGGTGTTTCTCGACATGTGGTGGCGGCGAGCGACGCCGACGATGCGCGCCCGCTTCGTCGCGCTCGTCGGCAGCGGTCGGCTGGAGATCACGGGGGGAGGGTGGGTAATGCCGGACGAGGCCGTCACGCATTACTACTCCGTCGTCGATCAGTACATCGAGGGGCACGAGTGGCTGTGGCACAACGTCGGCGTGCGGCCGAGGAACAGCTGGCAGATCGACCCGTTCGGTCACTCGAGTTCGATCGCTTACATTCTCAACCTCGTCGGCTTTGAGAACGCCGTCATTCACCGCATTCACCATGGCTTCAAGTGGCACCTGGCGACCGAACGCAACCTCGAGTTCCGCTGGCGACAGTACTGGGACGCCGAAGACGCGCGCCCGCTCTTCACGCACGCGACGCCCAACCAGCACTACACGATGAAGTGGACGTGCGGACCGGATACGGCCGTCTGCTCCAACTTCGACTTCCGGCACGTCGTCGGCGAGTTCCGCGAGAGCATGTCGGTGCCGATCACCAAGCACAACGTCGCCACGAAGGCGCGTCAGCTGCTCGACCAGTACCGCCAGAAGGCGGCGCTCTACCGACACAACGTGCTGCTGGTGCCGCACGGCGACGATTTCCGCTACGACAAACCGGCAGAGTTCGACCAGCAGTACGTCAACCTGCGCCGACTGTTCGCGCACATCAACGCGCAGCCGTGGGACGCCGACGTCCGCTTCGGCACGCTGCAGGATTACTTCGACGCCGTCCACGAACGCGAGGGGGCGCTGCTGCCGGCGAAGCTGCCGACGTTGACAGGTGACTTCTTTCCGTACTCGGACGAGCGCACGGACTACTGGTCCGGATTCTACACGACGCGTCCGTTTAACAAGCGACTCGAGCGTCTCCTTGCGTCGCGCCTGCGAGCTGCCGACGTCGTCTTTACGCTTCGCGACATGACGACGACGGAACGCGACGCCGACGCCGCAGAGTTGCTGACGTTCGCGCGCCGCCAGCTGGGTCTCTTCCAGCATCACGATGCCATCACGGGCACGTCGGAAGACCACGTCGCCGACGATTACAGCCGCAAGTTGTGGCTCGGACTGCACGCCGTCGACCGCGTCATCCTGCGCACGGTGCAGGCGTACGCGCTCGCCGACGGACACCTGCGCGACGTCGTCACGCGCGGCAACATGACGCTCATACACATGAACGAACAGATGCGCACGTATCAGTCGCTCCCGCTGAAGCAGCTGGTCGGCGTGCGACACAAGGCGGCGCACGTGCTGCTCTACAACGCGCTGACGCTGCCGCGACACGAGCTCGTACGCGTGCACGTCAACCACCCGCACGTCGTCGTTCGCGACGGCGACGGCGTCGTCGTCAGGAGTCAGGTGAACCCGCTTTGGCGCCCCGACGATCCCACGCGGATCAGCGACGCCGCTTTCGAGGTGGCGTTCCTCGCGCGCGTCCCCGCGACGTCGGTCGCCGTCTTCAGCGTCGCGAAGAGCAAGCCCGACGCGGAAGGCACCGCCGTCAAAGCTTCCGTCGTGCTCCTAGGTGGCGCTGCGAGCGCGACGTCGTCGGTGTTCGCCGTCGACACGTCGCCGCAGGAGCTGTTCATACAGAACGACGCGCTCGTCGCCTGGTTCGACTCGCGCAGCGGGTTCCTGCAGGGCGTCACCGACAAGAACACGAGCGAGAACATACAGCTTGGGCTCGACTTCCACGTGTGCAAGTCGCGGCACAGCGGCGCCTACCTTCTCGGGGACCTGCACGCGAGAGAGCCGCTTCTCGTCGGCGAGTCGTCGCCAGTCATCCGGCTCGTCAAGGGCCCGCTCGCCGAGGAGATACACGTCATCGCCGGGCACGTCGTCTCCGGAAACGTCATCAACACGATCGCCGTCGACAAAACTCAGGCGACGTCGGCGTCAGCGCTGCGGCTGGATATTAGTAACTTGGTCGACGCGGGCGATCTCGTTAATAGAGAGGTAATCATGCAGCTGAAGACGGATACGAATAGCGGCGACACGTTCTACGCCGACCTCAACGGCCTGCAGGTCGTCAAGCGCACCACGTACCGAATGCTCCCGACAGATGGCGCCAGGTTCTACCCGGCGACGTCGCTCGTCGCCGTGCAGGACCGGCGCGTGCGCGTCTCGCTGCTGCTGTCGCAGACGCACGCCGTCGCCAGCCCCGCCACCGGCACACTCGAGGTAATACTCGAGCGACGCATCGCCGAGAACGATGGCAAGGGCGTCAGCGGCGGCGTGACGAGCGTGCCGCGGTCGCTGCAGCGACACACGCTGCTCGTCGAGCGACGCGGCTTGCAGCGCCACACGGCGGACGAATCGCACGTGCTGCGGCCGACGATGCGCAGTCACCGGCTGTCGCAGCGACTCAACGACCCGCTCATCGCCATGGTAGCCGACGCGCAGCTCGACCCGCTGCTGCTGAAGCGCGTCGTCGACCTGCCGCTGTCGCTACCATGCGACGTGCAGCTAGTGTCGCTGCGGCCGCTCCTCCCCGCCGACAGTGCCGCGGCGTCTGAGTACGCGCTGCTCGTGCACAGGCCCATGTACGAGTGCCGCGACGACGACGCTGACGATACCGGAAGTTGCGCCGCGCCGCAGCCGGCGACGTCGTTCGCCGACGTGCTTCCCGGCGTGCGCGTGTCGCGAGTCGCTCGCTCGTCGCTGAGCTTCCTGAAGACGGATCCGTCCGTCCCACCGTCCAGAATGATGATTGTCAACTCAATGGAGATCGCCGCATTCCGCCTGGAAGTCGACCACAAGAGGGCGCGTCGGCAAGCAGTTGACACTAATTGACATTAATAGTCTCTCTCGCTAAATAAATAAATAAATAAATAAATATATATATATATGTATGTATATATGCATATAATATATATATACGATAAAAATATATGACGTAAAGAGACTCTAATTGTTACTGAAAGGAGGGAATGAATCATTTTTTCGCATCGGGGTCTATGATGCACACAGTATTTACTATACACACTCTAGTGATTTCGACCGAAGGCTTGTCTTGTTAGAGTTGACACAAGATTGGGTGCGGGTCTTTCGCCCCCTGAATGTTACTCTTGCACCACACTGCATCACGTTGTGTTGCGTTACGTTAACGTTAGTGTATAATTTGTTACTACTTTTTAATATGTATTACAATTTCCTCATACATGTGAGTATATATATATTGTTGTATTATATATGGTTCCATTGTATTATAAAGTATTAACATAATTGTGTCATGGGAATGGAGAATTTATTGACAAATTGTTGGGCTGGATAACGTTTCTGTTATATGCGATATTTCATAGAAATATGACAAATATATATAAATATTTCTTGGCGTTGGATCTAATCTGTTCCCGGTAAATATGTGATATTATTGATATCGGCCAGACATCACAAAGGCTGTAGTTAGTAGAAAAGTGGGAATGGGAAGCTCGCGTGGTGGCCCTAACATATCAACTGTGTGTGTATGTATGTGTGTGTGCGCGTGCGTGCGTGTGTGTGTGTGTGTGTGTGTGTGTGTATGTGTGTGTGCGCGCGCGCGCGTGAGTGCGTGCGTATGCAAGCATGTACACCAACGCGCGCGCTCGTAAAGCATAGGCCCAATCGCGATTGTTTTATGATCGGAAGTAAATTATTTCACCGCGTGATTGCGTAGTTCGTGTAATACGTAACATTCTTCATCAGCGCTGTCTCATCGTCTGTTTGTGTGCGTAGCCAGACGCCACAGCTAGACACACGCAGTGATGCGGCAACAACCTAGCAGCAGCAGCAAGAAGCGGTTAAATGCATGCCCGTTGCTAGCTAGCTAGGTGCACAATGAACGTGCTCCCGTGCGTGTTTCGATCCATCTATTCTCGTCACATACAGACGACAGATCTGTCCGCATTTTGCTGTGCGATCCTTGCTACGTACTCTATATTAGTGCAGCTTCACGAGGGGAGGCGCGTTAAAGCGTTAAACGTATGAATTATTGAATGTGATATAACGCTAGTCTGCGTCTGTGATCCATAACATGTGTGTTTAGATTAATGTATTGATTAGTTCTATGGCGTTTGGTTGGTTCTAGCACAGCTGGCAGTTTTTTATAGCTTGATTTGTTATTCAGATAGGTAGAGGCTGTGATTTAATTTGTTCTAGAGTTTGGTTAGGTCTGTTGTTCGGTTTTCTCTGCTGCAGCTTCGTTGGCTGTATCCTTTTGTGAACTCTATAGCTTGGTTAGTACTTACTAGTAAGTAGTAAGGTTCGGTCAGGTCTATTGCCTCTATAGGTCTGTAGCTAGAATAATTCATATAAAAGATGTATGATCACCCTGACAACAATCGCAAGTCAATAATAAAACAATAATCACGCATGTAATATTTAATATTTATGTACATGTTACGACATGTATTGAAGGAACAGACAGATCCGCACAAACAGGTCTAAATCGATAACTACATTTGAAAAAATCTACATAAAACTACAAAACTAAAATACTCAGTAAAACTGGCATAAGCAGTACGTCAAAAATCGAACAGTCAGTTAGGTTAGCTAATGACAAATTTGCAAAAATTGTATGACATCAGTTGCTAACTAACAAACTATGTTTTTGCAACGGCACAATGAGAGCGTATTTAGCACATTTAGATATCTTACATTTATCATGGACAAATTTATCATCAATCTACTGCATTGGCATCCACTTAGTCTCTTATGCATTGCTAAACTGGAACGTGGATGAGTATACGAATATAATTCAACACACAACAATTGAACACAATACCCTCTTGTCAAAAATATTATTTAAAATTAAATTAAATCATACATAATCGGTATTAGCAGGATCAAAAGTAAGGGGCAAATGTACACGACCAATAACGTGTTAACAATTAGCAGTTCAAAAACACAAGCTACCAACGTTTTTTTTAGACAGGTGAGGTTATATTTGCCTCCTTTACTGATGTCTATATATATGTCGCGTATATTTAACGAAGAAATTAATACACGTGTTGTATGATTTTCACACCGAACTATAAATGAATGATGCTGACCACCTAACCGTTTACAGTGAGATCCAATGTTCCTATGTTCCAACCTCCACAAGAGACTGTGTAAACGATCAGATAAGCCGATTCAGTTCTAAAAAGCTACACACAACAATTAATGACATTCTAAATTACAGTGATTTCGATGACTCCCTCGAAGCAGAATTTCTACTGGTATAAAAATGAGGTGAAACCAACGAAATTTGTATACTGTGCAAATCCAAGAAAGACAGCGCCTATGTAGGCCACTGTAATATCGAATAGTTCAAGTGAAAACAAACATGTTTCATACTGTGAAGAAGAGGAAAGCTTGCCACACGCACAGGCACACGAACTCACGCACGCACGCACGCACGCACGCACACACGCACGCACGCACGCACGCACACACACACACACACGCACGCACGCACACACACACACACACACTCATACACTCACGCACACACGCACGCACGCACACAC